GCTTATTCTGTGATAGAATTGAATCTTCTCAAGGTGTGTTATTGAGTGGAACAAGTATTTATCAATTTACAGAAAAGGTGAGGTCTGCACTTTTGAAATATACATTTTCCTTAGGACTTTTACATAGATTAATATGTACTGAAGCAATTAAACCTAGTGATTAAGGCAGAGGCTCTGTGGGTAGCACTGCAGTCTCATACCCCCAGGGTTGGTGGATCTTGTGCCCTGTTGGGTGTGTGTAGAGTTTGCATGTTCCCCCCATGTTGAGTTGGTTTCATGCCGAAACTCTGATTTCCACTCGGAGTCCAAAATCATGGCATTAGGCAAACTGGCATCTCTCTGGCATGTCTGTGCCTATTTGCCCTATGATGGCCTGGCTTCCCATCCAGGATGTCGCCTGCCTTGTGCCCTATGCTGGCTGGGATTGGCTCCAGGGTCCCTGTGGCCCAGTACTAGATAACTTATTGGAACATTGATGGATTAGCTGCATGGTGAAGTATGTACAGCCTTATGTCTTTTCATTGAGCCATATTATGTATCGTACATCATTTGGTCCAAAAGGATGGACTGGTGTGCCAGAGGTCTCTGGAACAAGGAGTAACCAGGTGGCTGCAGCTGTGAGGAAGGTCGAGGAAGAGGGCTTTTCAGTGAGGGGAGGGCTTTCATACTCCCCTCCTCCCACATTGCACATAAAGAATGGATCAGTCCACATGTAGAGTGGTTGAGTCCTGTTAGATGCGAGTGTTATGCTATGTACAGTATAGCTGTACTCTGGACTGGACCAGGACCGGTCTGGGTCTCCATGAGTGAGTGCCGAGTCCGGAAGCTGAGCTGGACTTTCCAGGATAGCTCCGGCCAAACTGGCAGCTGTCACGAAGCCGGTAATTAAATCCCCCAACCCCATTGCTACTGACAGAATATTGGCAGAGTGTGCACCTAATTAAACTGGCAAGCGGTCTTTGAAAATGTATGTTTAATATTGCCGGCTGACCTTATCCTCGGCCGGCAAAGTGGCTTCATACAGCCTGCAACTGACAAGCTTGTCTTAGGGACCAGTGGTGTTTCACAGGCCTAGGAACCTGCCACCATAGATGTAACCTACACGGAATGTTCTGAGGTCAAGTCTCAAAAGTACACCTTCAGAGAAGAACCTTGTGGACGGTGATGTTAATACCTATGGTGGATTTATGGGTAGTCCTCCTCCCAGTGTCTTAAGTTTCATTCCCTAGTCCTTTATCTTGGTTTCCCTTTGATTTGATACTTGAGTTGACTAGGCTAAATTTCTGTGCAGGAGGTCAGTAGATGAATGTCAGTTGATGCATTGACAGCTTTCACCTATAAAGGTCGTGTGAGTCTTTCTTGGTGCAGATAAATAAAATACACTGGAAAACAAATGTTGAATTATTTGTGGGCTATTTTCACAATATCTAAATTGCATTTCACTGCATTTTTTGTAATATACAGTATCGTACTCTGCAAAAGTCTTAGGCAATCAAAGATTTGTTTCTTTTAAATGATCTTCATGGTGGAGCAATGATTATGCCTGTAAAAGTATGTTAGCTTAGCAAATTCAAAGCCTCCGCTAAAATCACCCCAGCATTTGCAGCAACCATTTAATGCACCCATGAATTTCTTTGACTTGACAACTAGCCCAAGCCTTTTGGCAAAGCAGTACCTCATTGGGTTATTTAACTAATTAAGCTAAATAATTAGGTGAGCTGGTGGTGAAATTAACAAAAACATGGAATGGCTGAGGTGCCCCCGAGGAAAAGTTTTGGAACTGAAGCTGTGTTCTTTTAAGGATAAATTGTTTTTTTTTTTATGAGCAAATTCTTCCCACCCAGATGAATCATTTTAAGCGTTTTTTTTTTTGACTGCCTAAGACTTTTGCACAAATAATGTATGTTTCTAGGATCTGGCATTATACAGTTTTATATTACTACATATAGATCTCTTAAAATACCTTTATTTAATGTATATATTTGCTTTTATAGTGTATTTTGATATAGTATTTTTTTAGTGTTGCACTTGTGAGCTACTGTTGCCTGGTTTGTGTACTTGTGGTGCTGTTTCTTGATGCTTGCCAATCATTTGCAGTACATTTACTGCACCTTTACTGCCTGGCTTGTGCTCTGAATTACCAGATTTCTCTTGAGCTATTAGTGTCAGTCTTATCTACAAAAGTCTAGATCTTTGGAGGTCTGTTGTTATTTTAGCTGTCAGTGGGAGGCCTGGCTTCCAGTGGCCTAGCCACATTGGAGACCTGGCTTCTCTTGGAGGCCTGGCTACTGGAGACCTAGCCACACTAGAGGCCTGGCTTCTCCTGGAGGTGTGGCTACTGGAGGACTAGCCACGCTGAAGGCCTGAATTCTCCTGGAGGTCTGGCATCTGGAGGCCTTGCCATACTGGAGGTCTTCCTTCTGGAGGCCTAGCCACACTGGAGGCCTGGCTACTGGAAGCCTAGCCACACTAGAGGCCTAGCCTCTCCTGGAGACCTAGCCACACTGGAGGCCGACCTTCTCCTGGAGACCTGGTTTCTCCTGGAGGCCAGACTGTTGGCCTGACTGTCACTAGAGGCATGGCTATTGCCAAGCAGGGTTACACTGGAACTTTTGGTAGTTTTCACACTGGAACATGTAAAGCTCCATTTAGTTGTCTATATCCCTTCTGTGTCACCTTGGGAGTTTGAGATAGCTGTGGGTGGAGTTTAGGTTTTTGGGGGAAGTTTAGGTCTTCGTTGAGGGGTTTAGATATGGGTTCCTGGCATAGGGGAAAGTATGTGTGCTGCTCTGTCCCAGTTACTAGACAGAGGATTTCATTGGATTCAAATATAAGACTGAGTACCTTGATCTTTTCCAAACCTCACTTTATGTTGGGGGTTGGGATACAGTTACCCTCACCTAGTCATGCTCAGAGTTTGCCCTCCCCCCAAACAGTTACAAGATTATGTCACCTGTTATCATCTGACTGTGCTCAAGTAATTAAAATCAACAGGAGGTTGGTATTTCTGGACTGGGCAGGAAACCAAAGAAGTGCTCTGCTGTGGGCTGTTTGATCTGCTGTGGGCTGTTTGATCTGCTGTGGGCATCTTGGACCTTCTTAAAGAAAAGGGACTAAGCGAATTTAAAAGTGATGCACCTTCTCTGGCGGAGAGCAGAGCTCTATTCACTTGGGGTGGTATCCAAAGAAATATATGATCCAGGACCAGGAGAGGCAACAAAAACCGTTCAATGAAGTGGCTAAATTATAGGCTTTGCTGGTGCGAGATGAATGGTATTCTCTCCGCATTGCTTCCAGTTCACTCTACTGGTAAGAAGAGCTCAAGGTTACACTGCAAATTGGAGAGAAGGTGATCCAAACAGGCGATTGAACTCCAGTCTCTATGAGGCACCTTGGAAATGTTTCCATCTGACCTGTTCTGTGGGCCTTTATCTGGCCTGGTAGGAGGCGTGGCGTCTTCAAAACAGTTTGCAATGCCGTGTCACACTGTCTTCTCGAGATCCTCAACACTAAAGACCATGACATACTGCTTTTGTGTCCTGCTAAGTCCGGGGTCCCCATCTGATTTTCCCTGAGGGCCAAATTCCATAAATCCAAGGTCCACTGCATCTGAAAAAAAAACTGGGAGGAATCACTCAGGTGGTCCAGATACAATTGTGTTTCGGTCTGGGTGCAGACTGGAGCCGGTGACTACTGCGCCGAATCATTTCAGTTAAATGAAGCTCGTTTTTGTACATGCCTTTAAGTCTGGGCAGTTGCTGCGGTCTGGATACTTTCGTCTTGCGAGTGGTATTGACAGTTCTGCTGGGATTCAAACCTGCGACCCCTCGATTTTCATATATTGCCGGTGGGCAGTGAGAATGCAGCAATGCCCTGCTGTGGTGATGATGCCGCCTGGGAGGCCCAGCGGACAGGGCGATGCGCCACAGCGACCAGTCGATCTGTCTCCATGTGCGCTTCATCCTGGTTAAGAATATCCCTGTCGGGAGCAGAGGCGGAGAATGTGCCCACTGCAGGGACAAGGTTGGCTTCCTTACTCTCTCCACTGATGCCCCATTTCCTGTGGCATCCCTGGAACATTCCAGAAAACGTCGGCGAAGGCAACGATCTGGCTGAGAGCTACATGAGGCACTTCTGCGTCAGGCCGCTGACGGCGGGTGCAGCTTAATCTCAAGGTCGAACTCATGCCGCTGAGTCACCTCCATGAACTGCCGGATTCTGATCTGAGCTCAGTTCGGCTTTCGGTTCCGGCCTGTAGCACTGTTTTCCATTTGCGGTCTGGTTCCATGTGTTGAAGGTACAATGGCTGGAGCCACATAACTACCCCCCTGATCAATTCTAATACTTACCAGACCAGCATGACTAGGTCCGTTACCTTCAAAGGAACTGGCATATTGTACGTAAGCTTGTGGATGCTGTCTGTCGTAATCAGAGTTGTCTCATTATTTAAGAAAGGCTGTGAACTCCTTTTACCAGCGGATGGCAGAATCTGTGAACCCAGCACCATGGTGGTTCATCATTGATTTTAATGGTATTAAAAGATTTAAGTGATTAAAACGGTGGGGTGGTCTGGCTCCTTATTTTCCAGGGTCTTTTTAGCAAAGTGTTGTGTGTCCAGATGTAATCAGTGTCTCCCAGTTTGCCTCTGTGTCTGATCTGATTTAAATGCTGTGTTGTTTGCCCATGTTGTTCTACCATTTAGCCTTGAGTTGTTTTATTTTTCCACTGATACACTTTACACATCAGCTTAGTAATTGACAGAATATCAGAACTATTATGTAGCATTGGCCAAAGCCTACATCTCCCAAGGTCATTAAAATAATGTAATATTAACTTTATGAAAATCTTTTTCCCTAGCACCATGTAATAATGCATTGTAACCTTTCTAAATATCTCCTGGGTGCCACAAGGTCCATGTAATAATATGAACCTTAGATGTATGTCCTTCAGCATGTGTAACGTTATGGTGTGTAACCTCTCTGCTCTTTGCTTTTCTACAGGTCGAGTGACTATGGCACCACCTACTCCAAGCTCAACCTGATGCCGGGAACCACCATCGTGGTCACCAACTTCTACATCTGCCCCACCAATAAGAAGAAGGTCAGTGTCTCTCCAGTTACCACTCCGGGGGGGGGGGGGGGGCGTTCTGTTTATAGCGACCATGTGAAACCTGTTTATTTTTTTCACCGTCATATATACCTGCAAGCAGAGTGCGGCTCATTTAGCGTACAGTGAAGGACATAAAGCGGAGTGCCGATTTCTGACATCGTGACATTTGCTTTTGATTAAAGCACACGCGCTCACCTGCAAGTGCCCCCCGCCATATTTAATAGGTCAGTGGCGGAACGCGGAAGTGGGATGCAGCCCAATTGGATGGGTGATTGAAAGGGAAAAGGAGCCATGTGCCATTGAGCCCCGAAATCATGCTGCTGACTGTGTCTTTTATCGCGATGCCCATGCTGAGCATCAGCGGGGGGGGGTCAGGTGGCGTCTCTGTTTGCCGAACCTCAGTCTTTACTTCTTACTGAAGATTCTCAGTAACGTCAGCATGGTGACACCTTTGGATCGGGGGAGCATGTCCAGACTTCCTTGGGGGGGGGGGGGTCATCCTGGTATTCCTAGACATTTCCGTTAAAGGAGGAAAATGTTGCCTTTCTCTACGGTCGGGGAGTGTGCTGGTGCTCAGTCTGCACTCAACGTCAGCGATCTCTTCTGAAGGCTCAGAAGATCACGTCGGAGAAAGGTCTTGTGGAAAGGTCTCTGACAATATTGATGGCAGGAGAAAAATTAAGCGGGGGTTTGGAGGTGGGGGCTGGGGGGCGGGGGGGGGGCAGCGCTCTGCTTTCCATTCCTTTAAACCACCTTTTAATCATATCCAGGCAGGACGGAAAAGGCTTCCGCGCCACATCTGAGCACCGTATGGAAATGGAGTCATGACCATCCTTTCTTCTCCCGGATACCTCTCTTTCCCGTAAAGCTTCAAACGAAGGAGCAGCATCGTTTTATTCCATTCTCTTCAGAGCAAAGATCAGTTTTGTCCTTAATATCTCCTGACAGATGCCCATTCGCCCGGGGCTGTATTTTGAACGTTCCGGACGAATATCATTTAATATGAACCCGTCTTGGTAACGGGAGCACTTGGAAAAACCCGGATACTGTGTGTCTAACCCCTACTGAAGGGTATTTCCACTGTACTTTAGAGGATTTCTATTAGGGCCAAAGTGTAAGGACTTCAGAATTGCGTATCTTGGCACTGTGTTCCTAGAGTGACTGCGTGTGGTTCATACTACGGGGCATGTCCCACTGTCAGCCAGAACCAGGGCAGTCTGGACATCGCCACTGTAGCCTGAAATGAGCCTTTGTTTCAGCTGTGCTTAAATTTTAAAAGGTAAAATTACGAGAGATGAATGTTATAAATGTCCAGCATTTGTAATATCTGAAGGCCTTTCACATGCTGAGGAATTTGCCACCTTGAAGGATGGGGGGGGGGGGGGGGGTTAATTTCATTAGAACTCCCACTCTGTGTCACATGGCCCTTCAGTCCAGCGTAAGACCAGCTTAAATAAGATCTTGAAGACAAATGATATCATATATGTCTATTTCAGAAACATTTATGAATAATGAAATTTATGAATAATTTAATACCAGTTAGCAGAATGTATTATGCATATATGCGAGGGACTTGGCTGGTCTATGTGAGATGGGTTTCGGGTTCTTGAATATGAAGAGACTCTCTTTAAATTGAGCAGGTACATTCTCATAAACCCTCTGTCTCACGCACACACACACACACACAATTGTAATTATATCTTTGGGGGGACTGTCCAGTCATTTCTATGGGGAAAACGCTAATCAAAACATAATGACCTTAACCCCTAACCCAGCCCTAACTTTAACCATAAGTAACCAAACTAAATATGAGACTTTTGGCCATTTTAGTTTTTTGATTGCATTCAGATCTTTGTAGGGACCTGAAAACGTCACAATAACAGGTTTTTATTACATTGTGGAGATCATTTGGTCCCCACAATGTAATATAAACATAATACATACACAGACACAGATATACACACACAGACAACAAATGAAATATATTCACCTTCCCGGGTCAGGGGTCCCTGCCCCGGATTCTTTTGCAAACATTTGACTTCAGGAGATTACCATTTAAACCAGAGCGATCGCTATTGCAAGGCTGCAGCTTCTGGGATTAGCAAACTGTGCCGAGCCACTGGCGCGTTGCGGAGATTGTCTGCCTTAATGCCACCCAATCCCTTGTTGCATTTCCCTGGAGAGTCCTGGCTCCTGTCATCGTCTATCCATTGAGATTCATCCCGACTTTAATCGTGCACTTGGGCTCTACACAGAGTACTTTTTGTTTTTTAAAGCCAGGCTTGGTAATACTTCCTAAGTGTATGTGCGTCTATGGCTGGCCCTAAACGTACTGGGCCCTTATGTTAATGAGGCATCTCTGTCCTCTTGAGATCGAAGCTTCTGTTCTAGACATTTTCCTATTTCTGCACTCTGCTGATGTCCTTACAATTAAATTATTACCCCCCCCCCCCTGCCCGATCAGGTTTTTTTGTGAGCTGTGTTATTACCCAGCCCCAGCCTGGAACCAAAAACCATATGGTGTCATCCTGCTGCCATCCCATCCAAAATGACATAGCTCTATTTACTCCCCGAAAGATCTGCAAGTCACTCGCTGTTATATTCCTGAATGTCAAACTCCTCCTGATCTGCCCCAGTAAAATATCTGGCGGAATAAATGGGTAACACGTCAAACTGTGAGATGTGCAAGATGAGTCGCTTTGGGATAACAGCGTCCGCTGAGAGACAGAGTGCCGAAGATGCTGGCTTTTTTTTTTTCCTGCATCTTAAGCCATGACTCTTGGGAGTCGGGCTCTGGGCTGAGAGCGCTGCTCCCATAACAAGCGCCCGTCCGCCTTGGTACGCCCTCTTTCCCGATCATGCACATTAAAGCAGCCTATTTCCTGCCAGCGCCGGGGCCGCCCCGTCTTAGGGAGGCAGTGACCGCCTCTGGCTGCCTTTGTGTCCTCACAATGAGCCGCTCTGAGAAGCCTCCTCCTCCTCCGTCCCCTGGCGTCCCTCGTTCCCCCTTTCTCGGGCTCCGGACTTGGCTCCAGGTCTTGGCTTAAGGTCAGCGGAGGGTGACTGTGAGCTCACAGCACCCGAATGGTTCTTTTTCTTCACACGGGGCTTTTAATTTACTTTCACGCTCATTCTACTTTACGGGAAATAAGGCAAATAAGGCTTGATGATAAGGCCACTCGGAATGATGAACTACCACAACAGCAGGGATGGGGGGGTAAAATTGTGGTTTTATGCAGATAGAGTAGGTTTAGTGTGGGTCTGACCCACGTGGATTCCTGCATGCGCTCCACCCCATGCGCTCCATGGTAACGGGGAACCTGCTGCTTTTGGTTAAAAACAGGGGGGCTCATGTCCGATGTAGTGAGACTGATCCAGATTAGCGCTGACATCAGTCAGTCAGAAAGGGGGGGGAGGGCTATTCTCTGTGTTGGATGTGCTGTTCTTCACTCTGTTTTGCTGGTGAGACCCCCTCACCAGAGGGGCGTGTCTCAGGAAGAAGGTGTTGGGGATTTCGGTGGGACCGAGCGTAAATCTCTCAGTTTCCCAGAGCTGCAGCTTCCTTGCCATGACTCAGTGAGGTGCCCTGACTCTCCCTCCTTGCCATGACTCAGTGAGGTGCCCTGACTCTCCCTCCTCGCCATGACTCAGTGAGGTGCCCTGACTCTCCCTCCTCGCCATGACTCATTGAGGTGCCCTGACTCTCTCTCCTCGCCATGACTCAGTGAGGTGCTCTGACTCTCCCTCCTCTCCATGACTCAGTGAGGTGCCCTGACTCTCCTTCCTCTCTCAGTTCCCTCCTCCTCTCTTTTTCTCTCCCTGTCTTTTCCTTCCATTTTGATGGACACTACCTTCAGTTTATTTGCCGTGCTGGTGTGTTACCCCCCCGAGATGGTGTGTGGCCCCCAAGGATGGTATATGCCCCCCCCCTCACCCCCCGGATGCATGTAAAGGGGGAGCTCTTCATCTGCCCTGTTTCCATCATGGTGGAGGCCCCCCAGTGCATAGAGCGCCATTGTTTGTCCAGAGGTTAGAGGTCATCTGTTCCGGAGATACCGTTATGCTACTGACCCTGGATCAGTTTATCAATTTGTCCATTGTGGGAAAAGGTCAGTATTGAGGGAGAGTGAGCTGGTCAAAAGCCAGGGAATCGCAGAAATGATCTAGACAGCAAAAATCCTCTGCGCTATCTCCCATACTTGACACCCTGCAGCGCCCCCCAGTGGTATACAGGCAGCGAGGGGCTGTGCGATCCACTTCAGGATCCCACGTCGGATGCGTGATTAATTACAGAGCGGGTCTCTCTCCATTAGTGTGCTCATTTGTGCACCAGAACACAAACAGTGGCTGCACCTCTGCGTTCCGCCGCGTGTGTAATTAGCATCGGAGCGTGAGCGCAGTGTGCGGCTTTAACGTGTGAAGTTAGGGACGGCGGAGAGAGCCGGCCCACTCAGCGCAGCACTTCCTGTTTGCTGGGCTTTGCTCGGTTTTTAATTACGAATCTTTTTTTCCTCATTGTCTAATTTTAGCAACATCCAAAAATAAGTGGCTGGTATTTCTATGAGCCCCCTGTTAATGGAAGCCTGTCAAGTCGGGCACAGAAAAATCTATTTCGGATCGGTGACCTGTTTCCTGATGAAGTGCTCGGGGAGTTTAATCAGAAAACAGCTGTTCTGTCAGTGCGCTGTGTGGTGAGGCACCCAGAGACGCTTTCAGAGCTCTACACAGCGACGTGCCCGCATGAAAAACACTATAACATTAATTAGACATGTACTACTGCTTAACAAGAACATAATCAGGCGAAGAGGGTCCTTGATGAAATGTTTAAGCACATCGTAACCAGGCAGAGAACCAAATGGAAATATATAGGCAATTTGCTAACGATAAGAAGCATAACTATATTTTTCCAAGTTGGCAAAATGGTGAGAGACTGCATGAGATGCTGAGGGAGGCAGATGCTGAGCGGGAATAGGTGCCCTGTGTGTTGGGGG